CTTTTGTCCGATCATAGCCTATCGAAGGGCAGATGGCTGTGAAACTAATTAGAATAACAATATAACTCATTATCTATGTTGGTCAACGTTTATTCATAAATCTGGTCGTTCACCGTCACGTGTGTATTGTATTCTTGCCCAACTAACCAATAGCAATGTTTTAGACTCAAACAATAGAGAAACTGGACATTGCTATTGGTGGATTTGGTAAAAATACAATACACACGGTGAAACGACCAGATTTATGAATAAACGTTGACTAACATAGATAATATGTATGTAAAACTTTATTTCAATACGCTAACTTCGACAATTATTTACAACTGGTTTCCACGAAGGGCGTATACACACAAAGAGCTAAATGTTAATTATATATAGAACAAAATATGTAAGAATCCCACCCTAAAATTTTATCATCTTCCTCCCAAACCTCCACCCCTAAACAAGTACCCACCCACCCTCACGCAAAACTAACCCCCCTCCTGCCCACAATCTATATTGTCCTCCCATCATTTGGTCCTGGAGAAATTAGCTTATCATCTGCTTAAGTGCAATTTCGCCATTGTTTTAAATGACGTAATTGACTCAGCCGCCTTGACATCTTGCGGGAGACTATTCCATAGAAGTGCTCCACTGTATCCAAATGTTTTCTTTAGAAATTCCGTTTTCGGTTTTTTTAACGAGAGATCAGTTTCGCTATTGCGTAAATCATAAATATTCTGCGATGCATTTCTCCGAGAAAAAAAATCTTTAAGGTTTGGCGCAGTGTGGTTCCCCAAGACTTTATACATCAATACTAGTTTGTTTTGTTCTCGTCTCCTAGCCAGGGTTTCCCAGCCTAATTTGTTTAGGACTTCAGACGATCTTTCATCGTAGTCAGCTCCGGTAATCACCCTTGCTGCTCGATTTTGGAATTTTTGCAATTTGTCTTGAAGTCCCAAACCACAGTTATCCCACAGGGGAGAACAGTAATCAAAATGAGGCTGAATTACTGTAATGTTTTGTAGACATCATGTAAGGTTTTGTGTGGAACATAAGGTTTTATTCTTTTAATTGCTCCTATTCCAGCGCTAATCTTATGGCATACAGAATCAATATGTTTGTCCCAACTTAATTTTTCATCTAGATTTACACCTAGACATTGAAATGTATTGGTTTGTGGGACTGGGATTTTGTTAATCTCAACGGGTCTATTTCCTATTTTATTATTTAGATTATGCGTAGATCCAATAAACATGACTTTTGTTTTTTTCCTATCATGATATTTTAATTTGTTTTTAGCAAGCCATTTATGAATACTGGAAAGGTCCATATTCAAATTGTCAATCAATGTATCGTAATCATGCGAAGAGGAAGATATCTGAGTGTCGTCGGCATAAAGACATGGGGTTGTCCTTTCTAAAATGTCAGGCATATCATTAATATGTAGCAAAAACAATAATGGACCAAGTATGGATCCTTGCGGAATTCCGCATATTATTGTTCTTGCAGAAGAAGTTTGATCATTAACAGAACACACTTGCTTTCTATTCCTTAAGTATGATTGGAACCATTTTAATTCAATGTCGTGAATTCCAAACTGAGTTTTAAGCTTCTCCAATAATATCTCGTGATTCACCGAGTCAAATGCTTTACATATATCAAGAAAAACAACTCCATTTATTTTGCCTTCATCCATGTCTTGTAGCCATTGATCACACATTTGTATAAGAGCACCTAAGGTTCCATTTTTTGGTCTAAACCCGGATTGAAATTTAGACAGAAGCGCATGTTTATTCAAAAAGCTATATATTTGAGTAAAAACTTCCCCTTCAAATATTTTACTTATTATGGGAAGAATTGAAATTGGACTATAATTTTCGCATTTACGCTTATCCTCAGATTTGTAAATTGGTATAACTCTAGCTAATTTCCACTCATCTATATAAATACCAGTTCTAATCGATAGGTTAAATATAAAAGTTATAGATGGAGCAATAAGGGTTGATGTCAGTTTTAAAATATTCGCAGGTATCTCAGGCTTTTGAGACGTTTAGTTTTTGTAGGCGTTTGGAAACACTATCTATAGTAATATCTGCGAAGTGAAAATTTTCTTTAGGAAGAAGCACAGTACTTTCATAAATTACTTGATCATTTAAAGCATCAGTGCTTTGACATGCTGATTCAGCAGCCATCTTCATTCCAATATTTATAAAATATTCATTTAATGTTTCAGTAATAGATTTATCATCAGAAATAATATCATCATTTACTTTCAGTTCATTAATATTTGCATTCTTATGCTTTCTTCCAAAGAGCGAATTTATCCAAGCCCATCCGCTTTTACTGTCTCCCATTTGAGAGCTTGCCTGGATTTTATCACAAAAGTACTTAGATTTTGCTTTCCGCATGTTTATATTTACTTCATTGCGTAGTGTTTTATACAATTCCCACATATGAGTTATATTGTTATTCTAATGAGTTTCACAGCCATCTTCCCTTCGATAGGCTATGGTCCGATCAAAGCTTTTTATGACCGGATATGTGACCGACCGATTTAGGCTGGTCAAATCTCCTATCTCAAAAAAAATTAAGAAATACATCGTCAGTGCTAATTTTCAAAACAAAATATGAAAAATTTTACTCTGTCCATTGTCCGTGAAAAATTGATAAATGTCCGACCATATTTTTTCGTTTTTCTGTTAATTCGACAATTTCATTTTCTTCTTTCAGAATATTATCCTTTGCAAGAGACTATGCCACGAAACGTATTGCATTTCAGAAACATTTGATCAAACACCCACTACATATGCGTACCCTTGCAGCCATGGAGGTATGATTGTTTACTAAGGCCAAGCAGATGGTAGTCAATGGACCACTTGCTTGTTAGACTAAATTTTAATCTAAGTAAAGAGAAGGGAATCAAACACAACAGCTTAATAGAACATAATGCGGAAATTAGTAAAATTGCAAAATTGGTTGCGAAATGATGTAAAGCTTGGAAAATATAGTCTTGCAAAGTTTGCAAATTTTGGATATGTTTGTATTACGTGCGGAAATTGTCACCATTTTCGGCTCAAAAATGGTAACAATTTCCGCACGTAATACAAACATTTATAAAATAACATGTATAACACGCGTGCTCTGATTGGTCGAAACCCGTGTTTGGATCAGGCCATCCAAACATGGAAGACCATATGGTGTTGTTGTTATTTTATAAAACAATTACTTTATGGTTTCCGTGTTTGGATGGCCTGATCCAAACACTTGGGAATGTTGCTCGAGTTAAGAAAAGCGCGCAAAATCACTCGCCTTCGGCTCGTGTTTCGCGCGCTTTTCTTAACTCTCGCAACATTCCCGCGTGTTTGGATCAGGCCATCCAAACACGGAAACCATAAAGTAATTGTACAATACAAAATATGCAAATTTCGCAAGGCTATATTTTCCAAGCTTTACAACATTTCGTAACCAAATTTTGCAATTTTACTAATTTGAATAAGTTCTTTACGGCAATTTACTTTTTTTGCCTAGATAAAAAATTAGTCTAACATGCAAGTTGTCTATTTCAGAAATATTACTTGCCACTAAATACAAAACTACGCACGCAAAAATCACACATCTTGTAGCAAGTCTGCCAACAAGCCGTCAACAAATTACGTTCGCACTGCTTGTCCCAAGTTATCAACAAATATGGAGCAACTTGTTAAACACTAGTTGATATTATCAGACTTGTTGCAACGTTGGTCTAACGTTGTCTGATAATATCAACAAGGTTGTCACAACTGGAAACAAGTTGTTCCATATTTGTTGATAACTTGGGACAAGCAGCGCGAACACAATTTGTTGACGACTTGTTGGCAGACTTGCTACAAGATGTGAGATTTTTGCGTGTGTAGTAGGAGAAAAATGAACAGGCACAGACTATTTTCTCGCTCTGTTGGCTGAAGCTTGACCACCATCAGCAACGCGATAGTTCATAGTGTAACGCATCTTTTGCTATACTCAAAAATCAACATTATTTGATATTCAGGTTGAAACTCGTGCTAGCATGTCGTTGGTTCTGGAACTGGCTAGACTACTTGGTTTACAAGAGAATGGAAAAGCATCGGAAAATGACGAGCTTGTGTTTCGATTGTTAACGCCAATCACGAAACTCTACACTGCAAAACAGGTTCTGATAATTGATCATCATTGTTTCAATGTACACCCTTCATTCGTTATCCTTACACTGAAAATGATTTATTTTCAGGCAGTCAGTGTCATCTCTGAAGGATTGGAGTGTTTTGGTGGTCAGGGATACATAGAGGATACTGGATTACCAGGGTTACTTAGGGATGCTCAGGTACCGTAGCATACTCGGTGACTGTCTATCAGTTCTAAACTGTTCTTGCTAGAGGTCCATGCAGTAGGGTCATCTCTTATCGATCCAGTGCTACTACATCGATACTACAGGAGGAAACTAAACTGTTTTCCCTAGAGGTCCAGTAAGGATCATCTCTTATTAATCCAGTGTTACTAAAGGAGGAAACCTAAACTAAACTAACTTTATTTATACTGGATAGCTCTATTATTTCTAAACTGTTCTTCCTAGAGGTCCAGTAAGGATAATCTCTTATCGATCCAATGTTACTACAGGAGGAAACCTAATCTAAACTAACTTTATTTGTACTGGATAGCTCTATCAGTTATAAACTGTTGTCTGTATAGGTATAGAATAAGAACTATTGATTGGTTGGGCGAAAATAAAATACACACCTGACGATGAACCGACCATTTTTTTTGCGTAAATCAAGACAAAAAGATAGATAATGGGGTCTGTTATGTCAGCATCGAGTTCCCTAACCTTATGCTGTTGACTATGTACCAACAATGCACCGTATCTTTTTAGGTTTTGCCAATTTGGGAAGGCACGACAAATATTCTGTCGCTTGATGTTTTGCGAGCAATCACAAAAACAGAAGGACGAGTGATTCTCGCTTTTCGTGACGCGGTTATGAAGAAAATATCACATGCACGTGAACAATCACGCAGCGATCTGGTGAGCGTGTGTGATGTTCTCGAGAAAGGACTGGGGGAGATTTTGGAGTTCTTACAACATGCTGCTAAGGAGGGGCCCGAGTATCTTGAAATACCAGCCCGAGATCTGGCTTACAGCCTGGCGCGGGTGTATGCAGGTTAGCGAAGGTGTACTCGAGAAATCTTTTTTCGATCAAGCGCGAAAATATTGGAAAATGAGAATATTGAGTTTGAGGTAAATAATATTTTTCTCATCATCTTAGCAAGGTAACCAAACATTTTCATTCTATTTCTAGGTGCCTTACTTATTGAGCATGCGTCCTGGTCAGAAGCGTGTCATTCTGACGTTGCTGTCGCAAAAAGGTAAGACTTGTATGAAAATAATATGACCTCAGTCGCATGTGAATGCTTCCAATTTGACCAAACATTTGATCTAGCCTTATCTGCAAGGAGGGGTGCAGGTTTTCCATGGGGTGGTGCATGAGGGAGCCTTACTGCCCACTCTCCTCTGCAATCTGCAACGCTACTATCCCAACATTACCATTATTTGAGATGGCCAAATCTGCATGTCCGCCGTTCTGTTACGTTTTACATTATCTTTTATTTATAAAGTTTATATCGGCTTTTTATCATGTAAGCGTGACTGGACTCTTGTTAAAGTACAGTATATTTGAAAATATGGCTGTATAACAACCTCGACATGTTTACATATTTAACCATGATATTTAACTAAAGCATTCTGGGTATTTTCTCGTGAGCTCGCAAATCAATTAAATCGTTCAAGAAATCGATACGCGCTAACAGTAGAAGTTCCGCTGATCGCCATTCGAAAAGCAGAAAGTGTGTGGTCAAACAAATTTTTTAGAGTGGTGCTGGACTCACTAGGGCAGAGTTGTACCCCAGATCCGCCCCTGACCAAACACCACAGGTTTTGCAATCCGGTTTCCACCTATACTAGCACTGAACCAGTAAAGGATGATCCTTATTAGACCTCTAGGAAGAACAGTTTAGAACTGATACATTCATGTATCTACTTGTTTACAGATGGTGTTCACAAAACCTTTCCCCAGTATTCCGTTGTCACACGCTCGGCGCTTACACCTCTGGAGAATCCTCATTAGACTATGAAATTACAATGAAGGGGCATCCACAATTTGAATAAGAAACTGTGATAACTGTCTTAAGGTAAGTCCTATTAAGGTAATGGCTATTAAAGTGTGACTAACCCCAAATATATATTTTGATGTGTGTAGTATTTGGGTCATTCAAAGAAGAAATGTAATGTATCTTTATAGTAAAAAACCTCATCTTGATCAACTTTTTCACTGTCAAAGTTTCAGATAAGATATCACTAGGTAGATTTTTGGTACAAAATACAAAGGAAAACTAATTTGCAATTTACCTAATGACATCATATCCGGAAACTTTGACCGTGAAAAAGTTGATCAAATAATTTACACATACCAAAAATCATATTTGTGGTTAGTCCCACTTTAAGGGCATATGCTTCATAGGTCATTTTCATGTGCCATTCACGAGAAAGAATTTATTATATTGAACTCGAAACGTGTGTTAGGAGACGATGCGATGGCCTGTGGAAGATTTTATTTGTTGCGCTGTACATTTCGTATTTACATAGATATGTATATTTTATAATATATTTGGGTTGAGAAGCGTTCATTCGCTAAGATTTTGATCCTCTTTTTTATAACCTCTTTTTGTCTTGTGATAAATTTCGTCTGTATCTTCGGTATAGATTGCTTCGTTTGTCATTTCTATCGTAGTTATTGCCCATGTACTAAACAAAGAACAAATATCAGTGATTCTTAGGTCAACCTGTAGGTAACACAACCCTCCAGTAACTTACCGCGGTCATTGGTAGATCAGCTCTGATTGTTAAACAGCAGTGTTTGGGACATGATTCGTCACACACTCTTGAACACATTGCATTGCATGGGACATTGCTGTCGTCTTCGGTCATATAAGGATTACTGTAGTATTGATTGTTGTCATATGGGGATGTTTGCGATTGTGGGAACTCTTGGCTTGGCGTAACCGGTTTGACTGGTTTGATAAATGAACGTACTGGAGCTTTAGCTGGAATCAAACATGAAAAGCAGGAATTACAGATTTACAGTATCAGTGCATTACATTATTTTATTGCGTGTAATAATCTTGCTAACTTTATTATACTGGATAGCTCTATCAGTTCTAAACTGTTCTCCCTAGAGATTCAGTAGGGGTCATCCAATTTTGCTGCAAGAAGATGGTTCTGTCAAAAAACCATCCTTTATTGGTCCAGTGTTACTAGTACAGAGCCCATATGCCATGTGGATGTAAGCATAAATTCTTACCAGATCTGGGACAGTATCCCCACTGCTTGTCTTGTTCAAAATAAGGTGTAGTCGCACACCACATTCTTTCGTTATTCTTGGGACTAAGTATGCAATGATAATATTGTGCTCCATTGTAAGAGAACGGGAAATGACAACACGAGCCCTCTCTCACTGTCCCTCCTATTGTATGAATACAGTTCGCTAAAAAATAATAATAATAATAATAATGTTACTCCCCTGTTTACATCGTATTTCAGATCCTGAATTTGCCGTTTTCAAATGTTCCTCAAATTTGTGGTCCAAAAACAATGGAACATTTGACCGTGACAACTGTAAAATATATTTGGCTATATTTTTGTTACTTGTCTCAAATGACAGATAAGGGAGTAGTCATTGGATCAAAAGAGTCCGCCAACGCTTTGCCGAGAGTCGTGGGATAAGGGTTTTCTCTGGGCGCTCCAGTTTTCTCCCGCAGGGTAGCCTGCGTGAAATATATTTCAAGCATAGAGCCTGACACGCAGGCTACCCACAGGAAAAGTTGACAGGGTGGGTTAGAATAAACACAGTTAAGAAAGTTATATCACAATTGTTGTAGAGATAAAATAGTCTACACTGCAAAACACGCCCGGCCTGCAACAAAGTTGTTGAAAACAGGCCTGAACAATATTTTGCTGCCCATAATGTCCCTGGTTAAGTTGTTAACAATGTTGGTCAGCAGTGTTCAGCCTGAACAATGCTGAACAATATTGTTAACTACCATAACAATATGAGCAGCAAAATATTGTTCAAGCTTGTTTTCATTAACATTGTTACCGCCTGGGCGTTTTTTTGCTATGTAGGATAAGTATGTAATTAGCCATTCCGAAGTTGATGAGAGGACTGGGGACGAGTGTTAAAAACTGCCCAAATTAAGAAATGAACCAAATGACTCGATAGACCACCTCAAAATTAGTAAGTATACAAAGTTTGAAGACGTTTACATGAATACCCTTCGAATAATAAGCTTTCGAAAATTGTGAAATTACTGATTAAAAGATTGTTTTTGGGACGCACGTCCCAAAAACAAAAATTACAATACATTTCATATAGTAAACACCACCATTGTTGAAAGCTTATTATTCGAAGGATATTCTTGCAAACGTCTTCAAACTTTGTATACTTACTAATTTTGAGGTGGTCTTTTTAGTGATTTGGTTCATTTCTTAATTTGGGCACTTTTTAACACTCGTCGTACTAAGCGTATACTTTATGTAAAGATGTAAATTTGCGTATAGAAATGCAAATCGTAATCGTACTCGTAGCCAACCATAAAGCTAGCTAGGTGTGCTTTCCAAAATGTGAATTAGATTCCAACAGGTATAAACCTGCTGAATAGGTCTTAATACTCACAAGCACATTGTTCCTTGATGCAGGCCCTAGTCTCAGCCGCCGGTCCAATACAGTAGAACCCAGGCCTACATACTCTCGATCGTCTGCGCGTCCCGACCCCACAAGAGACGCTACATGGACCATAAGACGACCAGGTCTCATAACCATCACTTCTGCCAGAACTTAGTGGTGAATAACCATTATTCTGTCTTACAGAACTTGTTGGTACACTACCAAAAACAGGTCTGGGTTGAGTCTGAATTCTCTTCCGTAACACATTGTCCAGACTTTGTATCTGTTGTTTTAGTGGTGCCGTGTAACTAGATTGTGAAAATTGGTTTGGGTTAGGCGTTACCCAGGCTGGTACTGTGTTAGGTTTAAGTACGTTTGCGACTCCGATCTCATTAGCAGTGATTGTATTCATAGCATGAGGTGTTGGATTTGGTTTAGGTGTAGCATGATGAGCTGATGACATCAATGCGAGCTCAGAAGCTGGTACATTTGGATTTTCCTGGGGCATGTCATTATTTTGGGCTGTTGGTTTCGCGTCTTTAAGAATCGTTGGTGTCGTTTTTCCAACACTTGCAGCCGAGGGCGTTGCGGTGCTCCCCTGAGGCTTCGGTGTCGTATCGGAACTAGCCGGCGGCTTAGGTGATGTATCGGAAAGACTTAACTGATTCGGCGTGGTATCGGAACTACCCGGCGGCTTAGGCGAAGTATTGGAAAGACTTGACTGGTTCGGCGAGGTGTCGGAAAGTCCCGGCGGTGTCGATGAGGTCTCGGACGTTGCTGGTGCTTTCGGTGTTCCGTCGTTTAACGCGGGAAGTGTCAGAGTGCCATTACCCAATGGCGGAGGGATTGGTGCGTTATTTGTTACCTCGTTGTTCGGGGACGATTTTGTTAGATCATTGTTGGGAGAAGATGTAGTAAGGTCGTTGTTGGGAGAAGATGTAGTTAGGTCGTTGTTTGGAGTTGGTGTCGTCTGAGTGTCTTGTGCTTCTGTTATTGCTGCATCGGAATCTGTCGAGAAACGAAACACAGTCCTAAATTTTAATAACTTGATTTTTACTAATGACGGATTATCCATCAAGACATCCACAAGTTGTAACAAGGTTGTTGTCCAGCCGATGTCAGGATGTGTTCGCACTGCTTGTTCCCAGTTGTTGTGACAAGTCTGGAACAAGTTGTTATCATCTTGTTACAAGGTTGATGACGGTAACAGACTTGCTACAAATTGTTCCAAGAAGATTAATACAGACTGTTCGTAACAAGTTACTACGAGCTTGTTGTCATCAACTTGTTAACAACTTGTTACGTGCAGACCAGATATCAGACTTGTTGGAACAACTTGTTGCGAGTCCGTTGGCCTCATCAACCCTGTTACAAGATGATAACAACCTGTTCCAGACTTGTCAGCAACTGGGAACAAGCAGTGCGAACACATCTTGTTGACAAGCTGGGAGAACTTTACGCGTATACACACGTAAAAATCTCATATCTTGTAGCATGTCTGCTAACAAGCCGTCAACGAGTTGTGTTCGCACTGCTTGTCCCAAGTTGTCAACAAGTTTGGAACAAGCTGTTAACAACTTGTAACCAGCTTGATGACATTATGGCAGACTTGTTGCAAGGTTGTTCCAACAAGTGCGATACAGTCATGATATAAGAATATTGTTACAACCTTGTGTTGTCAACTTTGTAACATTCTTGTTTATTGTGACTCTATCAGACTTGTTAGAACAACCTTGTAACAAGTCTGATAATACCATCAAGCTTGTTACAAGTTGTTAACAGCTTGTTTCAAACTTGTTACAACAACTGGGAACAAGCAGTGCGAACACAACTTGTCGACAGCTTGTGAACAGATTTGTAACAACTTGTTTACAGACTTGTAGCAACTTGTGCGTTTTTACGCGTGTAGACGCTGTGCGCGATCTCTATATTTAAACTATACTCAAACACTTACTTGCGGCGTTTGACTGTGATGACAAAACCACATTCTGAAAATCTTCCAAACACTCACGAGGTTTGATAGTAAACACATTCTTCTTGTTTAGCATGACGTCATCGTCTCTGTCTTGCACGTTCTCCGCGTAGAAGATCACGTGACGTTGTTTATGATTGGCGTGTTTAAATATCGTCTTGAGTTTAAAAGCGTTGGCCGTTACTAAGTAACCTTCGGGTTTCAGACTCGATACCACTCGCACAGGGCCACCAAGTTGATTCACGAATCTTATACTGATACATTTGTCTGTTGGAGAAGAAAGGAATTTCTCGCATTTAAAAATTCAAGATTTTGAAATGCATTTTGTGAAAGTCATTAATAATTCACGAAGAAAACCGTATCTTTATATGTGAAAGAGATTTCCCTTGATTTACATAAACTTTATCTTTGATTTTCTCAACTTACACAACGTATTTTTTGAAAATTACTTCGCCAATGAACTTACTAGATCCATCGTTTTTGAAGCAATTTAAAACATTCGCAGTGCGTGTTTTGTCAGACCAAAATATACTTGGCTTCGCCTCGTATCCTTATATCTGATAAAACACTGCTGCTCATGTTTTAAACGGTACATAAAGCATTTGCGTCCGTGTTGTATCAGATATACAATACGGCTGCTCATGCTTTATCTATAACTCGTGAAACTCATTAATAATTCATGAAGAAAGCACAAAAGAAATTATGACCGTGAAGGAGTTTGTATATCTGATACAAAATCATGCTGATTTACAGAAACTTTAAGTTCAATTTTCTCACCAAATATCATTAGTTTATTCGTTCGTCTCGATGAGAACATTCGTATTCTTCAACAATTAAAAATAAATGAATGATATTTGGTGAGAAAATTGAACTTAAAGTTTATGTAAATCAACATGATTTTGTATCAGATATACAAACTTCTTCACGCTCATGATTTCTTCTGTGTTTTCTTCATGAATTATTGAGTTTCACAATGGTATATACACAATAGCAATGTAACAACAAACTGTTACGGATAATATAAGTTGATTGTAATTGTCTGTGTAAGAAATAAATAAAGTATGAAAAGAAATCCAAATGGGTGAGGAAATTATTGGGGGCGCCCTGTTTTTGTCAACAGTTCTGGAATCGAGCGTCTTAGAGCAAAACCACCGGCCAAACCATTATTACCATACCTGTGTCCAGTGTGGTCGGCACATGATTGACTACCATAGCTCCACCAGTTGGCAAAGTCTTGACAATATTCTTCTTTTCCACCATATCTTGTTTCACTGGTACATATACACAGTTGTTGACGAAACCTTGTGTCCCGATCCTCTCCGAGCGCGCCTTCAGTGTGTATGGCGTGGTATCAGTGTGACACATGAACCAGCTGTCTCGTCCCAGGAGTTCATAAGCTCGACCGCGCGGTCCTAGCTTCTCGTGGAATGTCGCGTCTTTTTCTACAGAAAGTCAAAACTTCAGTGTGCGTGTTGGTGGCGCACTTGTCACACACGTAAAAACGCACAAGTTGTAACAAACCTGCAGCAGACTTGTAGCAATGCTGTTCCAACAACTTGTCAACAGGATGTATTCGCACTGTTTGTTCCCAGCTTGTTGACAACTTGCTACAAGGTTGGTGAGCTCAACAGACTTGTTACAAGTTGTTCCAACAACTTGTTACCGTCCTGCAATTCATCAATTTGTCAACAAGTTGTGAGTGATAACCTTGTAGCAACTTGATAAAATAACAGTATTGTTACAACTTGTTGACACGAAGCTTGCTACAAGCCTGTCGCGAACACATCTTGTTGACAAGTTGTGAGATTTTTACATGTGTAGTACATGTGCCTTTGTGACCAGCGATGCGATGTCTCATTATAAGTCACTGTTAACAACTTGTAACAACCTTGTTGATATTGTCAGACTTGTTGTAAGATTGTTCCAGCAAGTCCGATACAGTCATGATATAACAATATTGTTACAACCTTGTGTTGTAACATTCTTGTTTATTATGACTCTATCAGACTTGTTAGAACAACCTTGTAACAAGTCTAATAATGCCATCATGGCTTGTTACAAGTTGTTAACAGCTTGTTCCAAACTTGTTTCAACAACTGGGAACAAGCAGTGCGAACACAACTTGTCGACAGCTTGTGAACAGATTTGTAACAACTTGTTTGCAGACCTGTAACAACTTGTACATTTTTACATGTGTAGAGGTTGCACGATCGAACAAGTTGTTTTGTCAGAAATTCATTGCTAAACTACATTGTTTGCTTGTTTATGTTACGCATTTTGTCTTTGATTCTTTACTAGTAAATCAGTTGAAATCAAAGTCTTCAAATGACTTTGTTAAGGAAAACATAAGATTAGAATGTTGATTAATCAATCCTTACTGATATGTGAAGATAAAACTAGACATGATGGCAAGTGAATTTTATTTCGGACAACCAATTTTCATGTCTAACTTGCCCTCATCGCAAGTGGGAAAAATAGTTAAGTTACACCATGGCTGATGGGGCTATTACTTATATGATAAATTATATTACATTACAATTTACTTACGAAATAATTCCGTGTCATCGTTTTTTTCCATATGAAATTTATAATTCTTATATCGAAGATAGAGCCCTGGTTTTTGTATCGATTCTAACGAGACGGTATTGACATCGTTGTTTAGTCCTGGTCGTCTGACTTTGAACAATGTTGGCGTGTTACTGAGCATCGAGAACTTGGCCAGAGTGCTGATGCCCATAGCATTGTGTTGTCGAGTTGTGGTAGGTCTGTAGCTTGCGTCTGTGGTGTAGAATTTCTCGTACGTTTCTGATAGCTTGGCTAATATAGAGAAAAATAGAGGCATGTTAGTGGAACAGTGTTTCATTTTCATGACAACATATGTCTTTACCCAACCTCAAATATCAGGTATGAAATAAATACCCAAATACCCTGGCCAAAAACTTTACAAAAGGATACAATTCAGTTGTCACTCATTCTGTGACATGAGTTTGATGTAAACTGCTTGTGCAATTTTCTGCAGTGTAAAGTTTCATGTAGACAAGTTTCATGTAGGCACATGTAGTTTCTTTGGACACACCATTTGCCTCCAGAGGAATCGGAAAATGATCAAGATAGTGAATCTGATTGATTGATTTAGAAATTGTATTGACTTATGACTGTTGACACTGCTTTTTAGTCTTCAATATTTGAGCGAGTCAGCTTTGAAAATGACAATAAATTGTTATTACCCAACCCTTGAGTTGTTCTGTTTTTCATTTACCCAACTTTTCACTCACCCAAAATGTCATTTGCCCAATCCTTTTCACTTCGGTACCCCCCCCCCCTTCTCCTCCAGTTTGGAACTGAATTGAGCTACTCAGCATGAAGTAAAGTTGTTTTTATATAACGCAAATCCCTTATCAGCCGACAATTTTAAGAAATAGAAAAGAAAATACTCCGAATAAGCGAGGATTTTCACCAACAGAGAGATACTGTCATGATTTCGTCTTCGCGATATCAGTTGCTTGATTTCGTTTGAATTTTAACCATCCGAGTAAATCAGTTTTTCAATTCAAAAGAAATTGAGCTGAAAGTTTTGATATAGCGATATTTATAGTTATAGTTATAGAGCGCGAATATTCTTGGAAATAATTTTCTTACGGATTGGTGAACCATGTTAATTTGGATATATTATTTTGGCTAGTAAAACATATCGGGTTGTGAAGCATAGCGAAATGAAACGAAGCGGAATAAACTGATTAATTTGTGCGAAGTTAACTACCGCAGAATCGCTAGTTGATCTATGATAATGACTATACTGTTGACACTTAAAAGCTGTTAACTTATTAAGTTTTTGGTAAGATAAATATGTACCAAACAATAAAGTTTAATTCTTTGATATTCAATGTTTGAAATTGCCTTTCGTTCATGTATAGATATCTTATACTGTTATTATAACATTGGCCCTTGCAAACATTATGTGCTGTAGTTCTGTGATATGAAATAGATTATTACATAATTATAATAATTGTTTTAATTAAAAATTATGCTAGAGTAACCGACTGTATATTCTGATATACTCTTATCGCTTGAATTGTCAATATTTCTTTATTTCTAGTTACAAAATTACACGCCATTTGGACAACGCCAAAAAACATAACAAAGTCGTACCTGCTCCCAAAACTTCACAAAAGGCCAACAGAAACCCTGACCAAAGCAAAATATCCATTTTCCAGCTTGGGAATTTGTTGGAAATTGTTAAGGTAATTTAGTATAAGGTATAAAATGTTTTCTATGACATGTTAACAAAAATCGTTTTCAGATAAGGCGTTCCGGTTCGCTTGAACTGTTTTTGACTTGCTTATTAAACAACTGTGCTGGCACCTGCTAGCTTAAACAGTGGCTACCTTTGTCTCCAGTTTATTTACGACAGATAACGGGCGTAGGTGTAAACTATAGACTCGGCGACTACGGCCGGTTGTACGAAGGCACGATCGCATGTGCTGTGCAGCGAATATATAGTGCTGGATTTTTCAACATTTGTAAAAATGCGCGAAAGGCTGTGATATCCCACAATAAATATAAAAACTTTAATCTATGTGAATAGTCAATTTTAATCTTAGTTTATACGACACAACTTTGTATTATCTTGATTTTGAACTAGACTGGGTGATAAGGTGATTGGCTCTTCTCATAGAAATAATAGATATCGATTATTTCTATGGTTCTCATGCATGCCTTTGCTTGGAATATTGAAGAGATTTTAATGTTTTTTAAGGTATAGTTCAGACTTCAGATACAAACCACAGCAGCCTATATACTGAAAATCTTTGATGCATTTAGTTTTACTAAAGTTTAGTCTAGCAACACGAGTCTGCAATTTTTCCAGCAAAATTATATAGCCTTCCAACAAGCCAGCTTGCAGAAGAGTTGTGATTGGTAGGATGGGGGAATTTCACCTGACATTTTATTATTATTATTATTAAAACTTGTTTTTAAAAACACGGAATTCATTCACAAAATGTGCTCTTCCATGGAGCAGTGTAGAATAGATATTTACAAAATATTTAATGTTTCAAAAATGATCTATAATAATATGATGATTGCCTTAAAATCTTTTTTGTTGATACAGATATGTAGCATTAATTGCTTGAACAGGTAGGCTGTTCCATAGGACAGATCCTCTATAGGTAAAGATTTTCTTGAGTGACTCAGTCAAAGGTTTTGGGACAAATAATTTGGAATCATGGTCACGCAAGTTACAGCTATATGTATCGTATTAGCTGGAGTAAATTTGTTTGAAAGATACTTGAGTACCATTTTATTGATCGTTTTGTGCATCAAAACTTTGAATTGCTGAGAACGTCTTTGCTCTAGATTATCCCCGTTTAAGGTACGCAAGTTCTCAGCAGAACGAACATTATAATCAGTTCCAGTAATAATTCGTGCAGCTCTATTTTGTAGCCTTTGAAGTTTGGATCCAAGACCCCTACCTAATCTGTCCCAGACACTGCTACAGTAATCAAAATGTGGTTGGATTAACGACTTATATATAAATCTGAATTAAAACTGGTTGTGGGAGGTATGATTTTAATCTTCTCAGTGCTCCAATAACTTTGGTTACCTTTTTATTAATCATGGCTGCATCCCAAGATAGGAAATCGTCCCGTTTCAACGCCCAAACGTTTGTACCTTTTAACTCGTTCAATGGACCATTTGCATTATAGACTAAATTTTGATCTAGACAAAAATTTCATCACAACTTGAAAGACCGTCACAAGATTAGTAATATTCCAAAGTTTCGTTGCGAAATGTTGTAAAATGCGGATAATATAGCCTTGCGAAGTTTGCCGTTTTTCAGTCATTTTGTATTACGCACGGGAAATTGACAGCCCAATCGGGTGTTGGGGCATCAATTTCCCGTTTGTAATACAAAATGACTGAAAATTGCAAATTTCGCAAAGCTATATTATCCGCATTTTACAACATTTCGCAACGAAACTTTGGAATATTACTAATTTTGTGATGCTCTTTCAAGCTGTGATGAAATTTTTGTCTAGATCAAAATTTAGTCTGTAATGCAAATGGTCCATTGTATTAAGGTATCATCATTAACCAAGATTTCTTGAATGTCAGTAGATTTTCAACGTTAAGATTGTTCCTTTAAAAAAAATTAAAAATAAAATAAATTGAAAAAATACAATTCACTCCTTGCACGACCCACGCGAAATCCACGCAGAACTCGCAATTTCCACGCGACTTATTGTTTCGGATTTCCGGCATTTTCTTCGCGAAAATGTTGTCCCGTAATTTTCTTCGCCAGTGTGTTGCAGAATTGACAAAGGAACAAAAGCTACGTGGCGTTCTGGAGAGATTTTTGTGCAAAATTTAGGCAAAATCTGGCCACAAAATGGCTTTGAAACTTTGTGGTAGTTCAATTTTATATGTAATAGCTGTACTGTGTTTATGTCCTCGCATTTCGTGGTCGTTTTTTACGAGTATTGAGCCGTACGAGGAACAGTGCTACCACGAAAACGTAAAAAAAGGTCAGGTTTGGGGATTTTTATATGAAGTTTCTGAAGGAGGCTTTCTTGATATTGATGCAAAGGTTAGTTGGAGCTTATTGTACTGGGGAGAGTTTAGATGTGATTTGTAGTTTGTGCAGTAAGCCAGCAACCCATCTATAACTAGTTACATACTATAAAGTGTACATTCCAAGTTTTTATGCATGAGTAGTGACAAATTGATGACTAGTCCTTACTAACTGTCAATCATAGTGGTATTGATTGTACAACCTGATTGGACGATAAGGGCCTAGTAAAAGACGATTCCCTATCGTAAAGTGTTTACATGTAATACTACAAGAGGAAACCTAAACTATTAAACTTTATTTATACATTTAACTATTTCTGGGGGGAGGGTGTAAATTTCTCTAGGTGGGATTGAACATTTTTCTGAGCGGTTGCAAGGTGTGCACCCCCCTACACTCTCCCAGAAAATCTGTCTATGCCATAGTCCACCTGTTGGCGGAATCAAATTGAAAGCACCATTCTATCATTTGATTCAGAATAAACTTCATATAGGATCATTCCAGAAAAGATTCACACATCTGCTTTGGAGGAAATTTCTGCCATCCGGAAGCGGGAATGTGCTTCCGGTTACAGAAGAATGTACTAGGATGTAGGGGGTTAACTTCAGTTCTCTCTTTGGGAGATGTCTGGATTTTTGTGGGATGACCCATTACAGCTAGGAATCTAACTTCAGTCATAGAGGTGCAATGCTTAGAAAACAAGATTGCAAATGACAATCACATGTCTTATAGAACAATTAATAGTCTCTAATTTTTTTATCAAAAATTACATTCTATCAGCTTACAACTCCTGATGGGCAACTCATGTATAACGAAGAAAAGAAGACAGATGACTCATATTTCTTTACAGCCGAACACGATGGCAAATATGTGTTCTGTCTAGCAAATCAGAAGTCGTCATTAGTTCCAAAGTTAGTTTATTTCATGTTTGACTTTTTAAATGACGAAAAACGATATCAAGAAAATGACGAAGGCCACAATAAGACGGGTACGTGTAAAGGCTGTATTCCACTAGGCAGAATTTTCTGCACGAAGTGAAAGTTTTCTTTGTCTTGTGATTACTCGGGTGGGACTAATCAGAAAAGACAAAGAGAAATTCTGCTCCGCATGGAAAATTCCGCCTAGTGGAAAACAGCCTTAATTAAAGTTGGTGCATAAAGTGTGAAAAAATTGAGGAAGTGTAAGAAATTTGATGCATAGTTTTCCGTTAGTATCAGGCAGGGTTTGTGATTTGCAGTATCCTAGTATCCTGACGATACCAGTTTGAAATTTTGGATACCAGATGTCGAAACCTTGGTATCCCATTTGGATACCCAAGAGGTTCATTCCTGAGCCACTTTCATTTCCACCTGTTTAATTAAGACAAAAACAAACATCCATTAATTGTTCTGACATTGTTGCTAATTTAACATTGAACTCTGTCATTACTAGGAAACCTCATACTTTAGGAAAGTTTTGAGATCATAACTAAATAATATAAAGACTGAAAGCATGTTTTGATGTTTTCCTATTTTGAGAATTTCGAAACCAGATTTTCAGTTTGAATACCACGTTGAGAAATGCTGGTATCCAAAATGGATTCCACAAAAAATTCAAATCTCAAACCCTGGATTAGGATGTGTTGGAAACAGGGTCTTAGCCAGAATTTGCAACTTGGGTGTCCAAATTTGAAATTTCATTTATGACACCCATATTTTGCCATATGGAACCATGGCACCACTTCATGCACCAGTAATTCAATGTGATTATTTTCGAATGCTGGGAGTAATCGGTGACCGCACTTGAGAATCGCTCAAAAAACAAATAATATATTCAATTATTCAGACTATGTGACTACTCACTACACTGACTACAGTAGTACAATTTAATATTATTGTTGTCACTTTTATGCTATAAATACAGTACTTGTAGCTTTGATAAGCTATAGTGTGAGTGAAGAGAACACAACCAAAAAAAACAAAAAGCAACTAATTATCTTATATAGTTATATTCTACGGTTTTTGGCAGCTAGGCCTATTCTACGGTTTTTGGCAGCTAGACCTAGGTCGTCCAAAAGCCGTCTTTTTTAGAAGGCCGTCCAAATTTGAAAATGGCCGTCCAAAAGACGGCTGGACGGTAGGCTGGCTAAGACCCTGGTTGGAAAGTGGCACGTCATCCTTATTTTGGGATTTATTTCTTGGTCCTAGCTTCAGAAGTAGACAAAGTGGTTGGCGAACTGAGCATTGAATTATTGAAGTTAAGACGTACTCAAGTTAAACAGAATGTCAGGATGGAGACTCATTTCAAAAGTAAGTTGATCTTGTTGTTTTTCATGTTATAGTGTCTGAACTAGAGAAGTTGATTGGGGAACTAAGTATTGGGATGATTAAAACTAAACGTAAACAAGAACAATACGAAGTGAGAATGGAAGCTCATCATAACAGTAAGTAGTAATGTCAAAATCAATCCTAAATTATTGTAATTGATTCAATTAATTAAAAACCTCCGATTATATAGGCCTGGGCCGATTGTTCAAAGCTGGATTAACGCCATTAAGTTTTTCGGTACCTAGGATTAAGGCCCTTATTATATGTAGACAAGTTACCCGGCTACGCGAGTTGAAAAGCGCATAAGATCAAAGGCTTGGGCTAATTAGTCTTTCATTATATTCAGTTTTCAACTCGCGTAGCTGGGTAACTCGGCTCCGTATAATCAGCCCCTAAGCCAACCAGCTTTCGAACAACTTTCCCCTTAGGTTTATATTTCACCTATAATTTATGTTTATAAATTTATTGATATAAAATTGATATGTTACATATTAATGAATAAAATTAATTTGGATATTTTTTAAACCAGTTTATATCCACATTTAAATATAATGATTTTGTGCCCTTCATCTCCATTTATTTCTAATTCTTGCAATCCTAAGGCTGATCTAAACCTTATGTTAAGCTTGATGTTAATTTTTATGCTAATCCAAATCTTAATACTAATCCTAACCTAAACCGGACACTTATCCTAATCTAATCCTAACACTAAACTTACTTTTACAATCTCGACTTGTAAAACACGTTTAGAATTTTTGAACAACAAATAAATTATATGGCAAAAATTTCCTGCAAGGTGTAAGAAAGTTTCTTGCAAAGATATTCTCGAAAAATTTTGTGCTGAAAAGGGTAGATCTGAAAGGGGGTAGGGGGACCCATACCCCTCCGCAGGGGTGTGTGGATGTTTTCTGGAATGACCCAACCTTCAAAACCCCAAGGCTAATTTTAATTAAGATTGAAACATTCTGATTTTCTTCCTTTCTTTATTTAGTCAATTTACACACAAACCAGATTGTCAGTTGGTGGTCATTCTTTGAATTCGTTCTCATCATTGGCATGGCATTAGGACAGGTTTACTACATCAAGAGATTCTTTGAAGTCAGAAGAGTTATTTAGAAAATAATAAAGTTGAGGAAGTTATGCAGGAAAAGTTTTGCAAAATGCCAGCACGATTCTTGTGGTTACAAATGGAATTTACGTTTAATACTTTGTCAAAGTGGCATGTTGAATGCTTTAATTTATGACCTTGAAGAACCATGTATTTAACTAAAAATTCTAATTTGCCAATTTCGTTTTACTCCACCTGCATTTACAGTATAACTCATACTTATATCGATTGCCACCCAGTTCACATAAGATGACTCACATGCCTAGTTACAAGCAATTAAAGATGATGTCCACTCCGTTCTGTGCATCAGTTCTTAGAGCTGCTCCCATCGGTTAATTTTCGTAATCGATTAATCGTTGTCAACAATCGATTAATCGCATTGATAATTAATTTAAATATGACAATTAATTTAAATATGAGAAACCCATGACATGGTTTGACAGGTTTGTAAATTGTAATTAAACTTTTTACTAAATTTTTTTTGGGGGGGTTCACCAGTCAGTATAAACGTTTTAGATCTGCGTTTAAAATGAACATTAATCACAATTATAGATTGCGCACGTTCTCGCCCTCTTACGCATGAAAAGACAGGACGGATATTAAGGATGTTTACTTTAGTTGTTTACCTTTGACACTCATAAGTAAATTTGCGAGACTCATACTCTTACGGATAATTGGTAATTGGTTTATGTCCGCACGCCACAACGTTGGACGCAAATAGTAATAAATTCTTCTGATAAAAAAACTTTAACGATATTTTTGCAGCACTGGTAACCCGATCAGACTATGGTAAGCTTTGCACGCTGCTAATTGCTATTTGATCCACAATGTTTTGAATCAATTTGTCATTTAATGTTTCAATCACAATCTTGTTGCAATTTTTTCAATCCGGAAAGAAATTAACTCATTCCCGCATCACGCTGTGTGGTGGTGTTATAGATGATCCGATTACTGTTAAGTATAATCGATTGTGGAAAAATAATCGATTGATCGATTAATCGGGAGCAGCTCTATCAGTTCTACTCATAACAAAGGGGGACCCCCAGATATAAACATTGCCCAAATTTTGCATCTCTCTAACTTTTTGGAATTGAAACGTACAGTTTATGTACTATTTACAAGTACAGCGAACCGGAAAAGTTCGTGCATGTGCACAGGAGTGGACATCATCTTTAAATATATGCAATTGAGTGAATTGAGTGGCAACTGATCATAAAATACATTATGGTAGGGTACTATAATTGCAGGATCATTCATACTTTGGGAAAGTTAATACAAAGATGCATTCACAATTTCAACAAATTTTTATGTGTGATATTGCTATAATTTGTATGAAGCTTTTGCTGTCTTAAATCTAAGGTGTAGATATAAATTTCATAAAGGTTTTTTCCGCTAGAAATAGTGTTATCTGTGCAGAAAACATAATTAAGAAATAGCATAGTAGAAGAATTGTTTATAGAAGCTATTAAATAACACATTTTCATTTGTCTCTTTTATTCTGTTACTCAACTGACTGCAAATGTGGCACATACAGTCTTGACAAAAGAGTTGCAAAATCTGCATGCGCAACTATAAGAATGCAATTGATATGAAAATATCTACATTATATTTAAAAAAAAAACACATTACAATTTTCGTTGGAAATTTAATAGGACAACCCAAGAACGATGCATATTATGCTAATTAGTTTTGATTTCCAGAGTCTCTACCGAGAGAAATCTCTTCGAGGTATGGAAACTAATGACGTGGCGGTAGAAGTTTCATGCCACGTGATAATATTAAATTTCCAAGATGGCGGACAAGATGGAGTTAAAATTGTTGTTTATATTTTTATTTCTTCCTTCAACGACGCTGGGATATTTTATTACAGTAGAGGCTCATGATGAACAATGCTTTTATGATAAAGTTACTTCAGGAACTAAAATGGGCTTGCTGTTTGAAGTGGCTGAAGGAGGATTCCGAGATATAGACGTCACGGTGAGATGATGAACTGTCAGATATATTTATAGTACTGTACATTATGTTCTTTTACTGGATGGCTTTATCATTATTCTCCCGAAAGGGTCAGTATTAAAAGGGCCACTCGTTATTTATCCAGCGTTACAACAGGAATGAAACTAAACTAACTTTTAAAGCTGTTCTATACAGTATACTGTTCTTGATACTAGAAGTTCAAGTCCACTTAATCCAGTAGGAACCATAGCCAGAAGATTGAAAAAATCGGCAATTTAATGAAATTGGGAATTTCAGTTAGCCTGCAACATTCAGACTAGAGTTACGGAGTATCGTATCGCTCGGCTTAGATATCGGCGGTGCAATTTTGATGCTTCTATATATTTACTACTAAATTTTCGAAATCTTGGCCATGCAATTTCCAAACTTTCCAGTCGGGAGCGAGGCAGCAGCTAGCGCCAGCTGAGTTAAATTGAATTTAGTTTGAAGTGCAAATCACCTAGCTGACACTAAATACCAAAGTTTTATTGTTTCAGTACTAAACTTCAATGAATAAATTCCATCTCCCCTAACTTATTAACCCATTGAGCGGCATTGCTCTTCCCTTGACAAGTAAAATTGTCTGGCGTTAGACAGAGTCAAATAATAAAGGAGGGCGCAATGTGACTCAGTGGCTTAATATATTTTTAAAATTTAGATCATAGGTCCTGATCAGAAGATCATTTATACTGGGGAGAAAGAAAGTAGTGGGAAGTACACATTTGCGGCATATACAGATGGCATGTATAGATATTGTTTTAGTAACAGAGTGTCAACGATGGATCGTAAGTTGTTGAAATTTAACATGGAGATAGGAGACCCACCTCACGATCAAATAAAGAAAAACGAAGGTACGTTACTTGAAAGGTTAACCCGATCTGTTCTTATATAATTGTTTGTATCTAAGGATGAGCACATTTTATAATAGACAACTTAATGTTTCAATGGAGAAAAAAGTCTAGACAAAAATTTCATCACAGTTTGAAAGAGCATCACAAAATTAGTAATATTCCAAAGTTAGGAAATGTTGCATGTAAAATGCGGATAATATAGCCTTGCGAAGTTTGCCGTTTTTCAGTCATTTTGTATTACAAACAGGAAATTGATAGCCCCAAAGGGTATTGGGCTGTCAATTTCCCCCGCATAATGCAAAATGACTGAAAAACGGCAAACTTCACAAGGCTATATTATCCGCATTTTACAAGTCATTTCGCAACAATACTTTGGAATATTACTAATTTTGTGATGCTCTTTCAAGCTGTGATGAATACCGGTAATGCAAACGGTCCATTATCTATAGTTAAACATGATGGGGCCTTCATGAATGGTGCAGTCATCTTAGCATTTAAGCACTTTTAACCTATGAGATTGGGTTTGATTCTCAAGTTTCCCACTCATGTGAAAAGAGTTGGTCAACGCTCTGCCGAAAGTCGTGGGTTTTCTCCAGGTGCTTCATTTTCCTCCCACAGGGAAAGTTGACAGGGTGGGTTAGGATAAACACAGTTAGGAAAGTAATATCACAATTGTTGTAAAGATAAATAGTCTAGGCCAAATATATGTAATTAGGTAATTAAGCGTAATTCTCGATGCAAAGCGCATTCCATCATATCGATATGTAAATTTGCGCTATAGAAATTTGAATCTTATAATGATTGGGTTGTTGAAACATGTTAAATGTTTTTGAGAAGCTTTGCATGAGAATAAAAAAATGTTTTGGGCTCCATTTCCAAAGTGATAAGTTAGTCTCGCCAGCACTGTTATTGTATTGGGAAATATTGTTTTATTAATTTAGAACATCAAGATAAACTAAACAATATGATTGAAGAGTTATCAACAGTTCTAGCCGGAGTCAAACATGAACAGGAGTATATGGAAATACGAGATGACGTCCATAGAGCAAGTGAGTTTTTTCCTCATTTGTAAGCAGGTATAGACACTCTGGCTATTAATTGGTAATTACATTATTACATTATAATCTGGGCATTAAAATTTTTAGCAGTACTTATCCATGAGCAATACCTGGTTTTGAATTTGATATCCAATTTTTTAAGTTAGTATCCCACCTAAGAATAGCTTAATTCACACTATTGCAAAGCATGACGTTTTGCACATGCATGAAATGCCTGAATTTCAAGACGTAATTGTACTTGCAAATCTAGGGAAATTCTTGAATCTAACAATGCAGTCAGGCCTTAAAATATCAGTTGGTCACGGACATTGTCCGACCCATTCGCGAAATTGTCTGACGTAGTGAGGAAACCACCGGACATTCTGTCCGACCTAATTGAAACTGAGGTTTATTGTTTGTCCGACCCGAGTGTATTGGTGTCCGACCGAATGGTAACTTTGTCCAACGTAAATCAATATGTCGTCAGCGGCGAGCAAAATGGTGAAGTGGAAAACGAACTTAAGTGTTGACATCTTACTATTGTTATTGGCATGCAAGTTAATTTTGGCTTGGAAATAAGTATGAATGACACAAATTATTTAATATCTTCACAACATTTACAATTCAGAATTAATACATTATGCTGATATTTGTGTCATTCAGACTTATTTCCGAGCCAAACTGGACCGAAGGTCATCGGACATCATCATACATATGTCCGACCCAAACTCTAAGTCATCGAACATTTTGTCAGACGGCCCTGTAAAAGATATTTTAAGGCCTGGGCCAGTAACACAAACACTAACAATTATATCTTGAAATTTTCGTACGGAGTTTACTCTGTGATCAGGTTAAGACTAAGTGCAATATATTGTCTTTATTGTCAATTTATTTGTATTTTATGCAAGCTGTTCAGACAATATATTATAGTGTTTTAAAACCTGATGATGGAGTAAACTCCGAACTATTGTTTTTAATAAAAAAATTTAAGCCTTGTTCTTTGTCATCAATTATCTCAATCTTTTTACAGTTAATGACAACACAAACAGCCGTGTCGTGTGGTGGTCATTCTTTGAATCTCTGGTCCTGGTGGCGATGACAGTTGGACAAGTATATTACCTTAAACGATTCTTCGAAGTCAAACGTGTTGTTTAAGTAATGTAGTTAGCAACTTTTATGTACAGATTAGAAAATACAAACAGTAAGAGTGTGGAAAGTTTGTTTTATTTCTTTGTTTAGTTGTGAAACAAATACTGTAAGACATCAATGAGTATCTTCTACAGGAATGGTTCACTTAAATAAATCCAAGAGATGACTTTATGTAAATTTTCTTTTTGTGGAGTTATTTATTTTCATTCCAATAATTCCTTTACGTTTCTTTTTGACAGAAATTCCTAGAATCAAGAGACAAATATTATCATTTAATTAATTAGATAAACTAATTAATAACAAACTATAATATAAAAGTAAATCAATTGCCCTGATAATACTAATTTGCAACAATATTTTCCAGAATGAGCCTACCTGTATAAAATGTCTGAGGTGGTATAACTCTGGCTGGTTCTGTCAGTTCTATGCCTCTTGAAGTCACTGCTTTTCTGAATTCTTGAAACTAGAGAAATTAAATTTATCAAATGGATTTATTAAGCACTTATACCCGGTATAAAACACTTGGCTTTCGGCTTGTGCTATATGTAAGACAAATAACTCCTGCGAGTTCATGTTTTAAATAGTACTTAAAATTATTTTCATTACTAAGCAGTGCCTGGTATCAGGAAAATAACTATGAAACTTGTCATTTAATCTTGTCCTGGCCTATAAATATTTAAACATTTCCGAAGTGGATCACCTTTTCTTTCTTGCGTATATCTGTAGTGTACATTGAAACTCTGTTTAGTCCAGCATGTAGACATCTGTCTGCGATAATGTGGCCAATATTCATGGCTGCCGAGACATCATTTGCTTTGAACAAGTGTTTTCGGATGTCAAATTCTTCTGTCGAAGCTTTGGCGAGAATTTTCCCATGTTGGTCTTCAACATAAGCTTTTATGTGTCGATTGGTTAACACTAAATTTAACCTGGGAAAAAACACAATGCGAGAAATAAGGGTGTGTTAGTCAGGTTGTAAAAGTTACATGATTTTTGTAACTAGTTACAAGTTACCTTGTCAACAAAGTAACTAGTTACCATATTACATACTATTTAAAACATGCCTAGGAGTGTTTGTCAAATTTAAAATGCGAGTGTGCAGCATGAGCATTTTAGATATAAAACAAGACTTCAAGTGTTTTGAATGGCTTCACACATGACTACAATACATGCCGTCTCATTAATATTCTTTATATAAAGAATACTAATTAGGATAGACTTTTATGTAAAGAATACTAATGAAGATGAGTTTTATCAGGTATAAAGCCTCTTCACGTGACATATTACGGTTGACATGATTTGTCAATAAGCTTATGAATTATTAATGAGTGTTTGGAAGTTACTCAAAAATGTAGCAAAGTCTGGTATTAGTTCCTGCAACATGCAGTTGTTGATCATAAGTAACATCACAGGATTCCTTCTGTAGCAACTAGAGGCATAGCCACTGTGGGGGGGGGAATCGGGGTCTGGACCCCCTTCCACTTTTCTTTAGGACCAATTTTGTATTTGCTCAAAACTGAGGAGAAACTGGGGGGGGACCTCTTATAAATGTTTTCATACCAAATCTGTGCCTTCAGATGATCATAAAACACATCTAAAATGCATGAAATAGTGTTTTGGAAACCCTAAAAATAGAACCTTTTCTGGGGGAACCATTCCCCCGGACAATTTGACCTCATCCCTTCACTCTGGGGCTAGCTACAACGACCCTGGTTTTGATCGAGACTGCTGACTCAGCATTTTATAGCTTGCCTTCGAAGTTCGCTCCAGACCTACCTTTTGAAAAAATTTCGCTTTTTGTACTGTGTAGAGTAACCCCGCTGCTTGTTATAGCCAAAGTACTCGGGGTTTTTCGGATTCCGATTGATAAATGTGTCGAAAGGGGTGGTTAAATTATGCTCAGAATTTGAGCTATTTTCATCTTTTAATCGGTTTTGTTTCAGAGACATTGCTGCAAATACATTAGGCGTAGACAAATTTCTAATAAACACCACATTACGCGATGATTTTCGCCATAAATTTCGTCGAAATAACTCGATAGTTCTGTTAAATATGATTTCACAATTTTTCGCCGCCATTTTGGATACTCCACTGCGCATACTCATTAGAGCCCAGGGGCCGTGGGCCGTGTCATGAAAAGATGAAATCACATGTCGTGTCGTTTTGTCCGTATTATTTGCAATTTTTTATTAATTTGCCTCGAAATGGCTCTAATTTAGCTCAGTACTTCACTTCTGACAAGGTAGGCCAATGTTATTTATGTTAGTAATATCGTTTTGTAGATTGTGGTCACGTGTAAATGTAGTCGCATGTATATATAGAATGATGTAAATGTAATGTGACTAATGCACCTGTTAATGTTAAGCCCCAGAGGGGGGGGGGGGTCAGGCATAGGTGGGGCATTTGATTTTTTGAGCAAATTTTCAATCAAATGCCCCACCGTCGGGCAATAAATATTGGTCAAATGCCACACCATTTTGCAATAAATACTATACTAAAAGTCGTTCGGTTCAAATTGCCCCAACTCGGGGCCAAAATGCTAATCAAAATCCCCAGGGTGGGGATGCAGTTGGTGATCAAATACCCCACATATGCCCGACCCCCCCCCCTCTGGTGGTTAAATTAACATTGATAGGTGCATAAGTATTAAAATCAGGGTTGGCAAATCTTCTTTATATATAAGCCCCCCAATATAAGCCCCCTATGTCCCCCCAAATATAAGCCCACCCGAATATAAGCCCACTTGTTTATCACTATTACCACTATTAGTCACTATTACTATGCTTAAAACTTGTTTATCACTATTACTATACTTCTTTATCACTATTACACTAACACAAAAGATTGTCCATGTATAAGCTCCCCCCCGTATGTAAGCCCCCCCTGTATATAAGCCCCCCCTCTTGTATATAACCTCTTTCCCCCCCTCCCTTGTATAAGCCCATCAAAAATCGCTTACGAAAGAATATAAGACCAGGGCTTATAGTCTGTGGTTTACGGTATTTACTATAAAATAGGGTTGCTTTTGGATTGATTAAGGGGCCGATTACATGGAGGTTTTCAGCCCGGGATGAAATTTCAGTCCGGCAAACCGGGATGAAATTTCAGCCCGGGGTGGAAGAATAGTCGTGTTTATACTACCAGGCCTGGCTTTGGCCTACATTTTAACGGCCTGTGTAACATATAGTAGGTATATGTATAGCATATCATTTATAGACCCTCTGTTTGGGGGATTTGACAAAATATTACCCTCAGTGATGATATATCACTTCGGGTAATATTTCTCTGAATCCCCCTCACCCCAGGTCTTTTTCTTTAATTTTCCTAACAACCGGACACCATTTTGCTTAGTCAGTGCTTCCACATCCAAAGATATATTTCCCTAATTTTTGCATCAAATTTCCATTTAACACAAACATTTTTTTCTAAGTGGAAACACTTACAAGCATGATCCAATAAAAAAGTTTAGGGTCAGGATTTCGGCATCCAAAAGCTAGGTAGGGTCGGGAAATCGGAAACCCACAAGTTGGGGGGGGGGTTAACCAACCCCCCAATCCTGCCCCCCCCCCAAGTTATGGCCCTGACGAGCTGTAAATGAAACATAACTCGTTCAACTCTCTTGACTCGGACGTGAATGATGAATACTCATGACAATAATTTAATATGATGTCTTATTGCCTTGTTCTTGGAGTACCAGACAGGTACGACTCGAATATCGAATTATTGCACCCTGCCAAGATTTTGCAAGGCTTTAAATCTAACACATTACTTATCTGTTTATGATTTTCTAGATATCAATTTGAAGGAAGTAACCAAATTGCTTAGATATTGCTATACACAATGGCTTTGCCACCATTTTCCGAAGAAGAATTAAATTACTTCAAAATTGCTACACTTTTTGTTGATGAGTTCCCCAAAGTCCTGCGTGAATTATTTATTACCATGTGGGACAGCATGGTTGCTATAAAGCCAGGATACATTGTTTGGGATGATAGTACCAAAGTACGGAACATGCTCCTAATGTCTGAAGGTGGTAAATCTGCTATACCAACGGTGAAGTCAATTGAGGAGTGGGATTGCACAGCTTTGTTTAAAGCAACCATCTATGCCAGAACATTTGGTGTTCCAACTTTAAATGATTTATACTTGAAGAAAGTGAAACTAGCTTCAGGCACCTTTCACGCATCCGTTTTAAGTTCTTCAGGAAATCAGGATGAGACGTATGCTTTGGTGATCGACCAACTGAGATTGTTGAGAAACAAACTTTGCCATTTATCAGAACGAGAACTAAGTAAAACTGATTTTGATGCATATGTACAGTTAGTCACCAGGGCTTTAGCAGCGGTTAATTTTGACACTGCCTTTGTTGATGCTACTGGTCAGCTGACCGAGGATGATTTCACAATCGAGAAAATTATAGATATACATGATTGTCTTTTGAAGGAAGATAGTATAGCTGATATTCATGGGATAGTTAAAAATGCCAGTTTGGGCAATAAGGGAGAACCAGGTGAGGTAAAAATGATGTTTGTATTTTACTAGGGTATAACATTATTTATCAATGTACAGTACACTTCGTTATACCCCCCTTTGTCATATTCCCCCCCCCCCCTTGGCATGACCAAACATTCTCCCAAAAATATTACATATGAAAATATGCATTATTCTTTTTGTTTTCGTGCAATAAATATGCCTTATAGTTGCGCCGAGTTTATGACACATCGCTTCCATTATTAAGCTTGAAAAATAGTCCAAAATCTTTGGTATCTAGAGCTCTCTAATTAAAGGTAAAACAACAGTCGCAGCGTAATATTATGCAATTTTGTTGGATCACTAGCCTGTTACCAAACAAATGTGCTCTTTACACGTGTTATATTTCTTGGTCATGCTTCTTGTGAAGAGCATGACTAGCTATATTATTTTATACTAGGGTGCTAGGCCATAGGATGAGCATAAAAAAACGGATTCCGTTGCACCCACTGAGCTTGTTACACCCCTCGGGGAACTACATAATTTTCACATGAATCAATAGATGAAAACTTACTTTATCAGAATTCGTTGTTCCCTAAGCGAAACAGGTGCACAATTGGGAAAAATATTCCTCCAAAGTTTGATATTTTGATATATCCATTGTTTTGGTAGCAAATATGCATGCGCATGTCAGCCAAACTCGCACTGCACACACACAGACTGGAAAAATTGGATTTTCCCTGTGTATTTTCCCCGACTTCCCCCGTAAAAAAACAACAAACTAAAATGTCTTGATTTTTTCACTTTCTGTTCTGCAATGTGATTGGTTAGTGTTCTCTAAGTGGCCCCACTTACTGTAGACGCACTGTAATTCATTAAAATGAAGTTTGGAGTTGTGGGAGGATTACATAAACACCATTTAGCTTTTTATTTCATGATATTTAACTGTACCATTCTTTGATCAGTCATTATTCATATGTGACGTAAATTCCGGACATTTGCGTATCAATGAAACTGAAATAACTCGAAAATCTTCAAAGTACGTTACAGTATCATTTCAGAAGTTCTGAAAAATAGGTACGCTAGGTGTACATGTATCTGCGTAAAGGAATCCTTTCATTTCACAATTATTAGTAAACATTTATATTTCGAAGTCACTATACAGCCGGCAGGCGGCTATTTAGTAGACTGCTGGCTATATAGTGACTAAGAAAAAAGCTAAGTCAGACAAAACACAACCTGACGGCAAGCTCGGTAAAAGCATGGATAATAAAATAAATGGACAGGACTCTCGCTGACGTAAGCAAAAACAACCTAGTTGCAATCTGTGACGACACGCGTATTGCAAAGTTCTCTGCATTTTTGTTGTTTCGTTATATTTTCCGCCTTAAAAGAGCAATATTGAAGCATAAACTGGTCTAATTGTTTTAAAAACATGCCTAAGCCACGACAAAGTATTCAAGGTAAATGTTTTTCGTCTTTGTTTTGTATTTTTTTACATTAGTAGCTACGAAATTGGCGTCCCCAATTTTAACGAAATTTGGGATGCCTTTTTCACTGTTTAGTGCTTGAAATATTTGCTAAAATTGACTGGGAATACTTCGAGATTTCATCGTAGAATGGCGTAGTTATATTCATTTGCTCTTTGACTCAAATGTTTAGCTGTATTATTGCTAAACATGCCGTTTTTGAGAATTTGGTTTACAACTAGGTTTCAACATCCAATCACGCCATCAGCCCATTGAAAACATTAGGTCACGTCAGCTAGTTTCCTATCCATTTATTTTATAGCTTTTTATTATCCATGGTAAAAGCTACCGCAAACAAAATTTTTTTATTTTTAACTATAGTCAGTATATAGCCGGCAGTTTACTAAATACACGGCTGCCGGCCGTATAGTCACTTTGTTTAGGCCAAATAAAAAAAACTTGGTTAGCGTCACCGCCCGCCTCTGATTTCTGCCGCCTCTGAATTAAAAAAAAATATTTTTAATGTAAATCTCTTTGTTTTACAGCTTAAAATAGTTTAATATTTGGAATTTTTCTCAGTGTTCAGACCTTCGCGCTATACTGTATACTGATCGATAGGAGCGCGTGGGCTTTGGTATACAAGGTTCTTATAGCAAAATGGCGGCCAAAATGCTGTGACTATATATAAAATGTACCATATGTAAACAAAATTTTGACATCCCATACTGTCAGCAGTCAGTATATATTAATTATGAATAGGCAATCGATATTATTAAAAAAACATGCACGGTTACTTACCTAAAAGCTTTACGATGTTACTTTGGGCATCTTCTAAGATATAACAAAAAGTTTTTATCAGAGAATTTTTGGCTTATATACATAACCAGAGCAAAATATAAAATACTCGTCACTCTGTAGAAAGCCACCATCTTTGTTCATCTTTTTTTCTCAGGCATACAGCCCTAATTAGTCGACCTGA